CTGATTCTGCTCTGGATTGTGGAGCTCCTCCACCTCTTCTCTCTAAGGCTCCGCCCACCCCTCCTCTTTCCTTTGGCTCTCCACCCAGATCTGTGACCATAGATGATGGGGCAGGAACCAGGAAGCTTCTCCTTCCAGCTCAGCGGGTCCATCCCCTGGCGAGAGCTCGATCCACTTCACCTCCTCTTTGGCCGCCTGGGATTTAGATTCTAACCTTCGAAACCAGTCGCCCACCTCTGAGCGGCGGTCAGAAACGAGTTCAACTCGGCTATCGTTGGTAATACGGGGCCCTTAGAGATCCAGCTCCAGAAGCAGGGCCCACAGAATCGCATGAAACGTGGACATAAGCCCCCTCCAACTCCACCAAATTATGTAAACTGGATCACAACAAGGTTTACTCTGATCTCAGACTCAGGATATCTCTGCTGGGATCATTTCCTGCCGCTCTGCTCTAATAAATCCAGATTTTTAACCACAAACAAGGTCCATTTAACTATAGGACCAGTTTGATAGAACACAATTTCAGACAATAAATATAATTAGGGGGTCCCAGCTCCATCAGTTTGGGGGTCCTTGGCCTAGAAAACCTTGAAGACCCCTGGTGTAGATTGGTAATTCTCTGATGGTTTACCAGTAACAAGTGTGCAGTTATATGTGGAAATCAGTCAGTTAAACGTTAGTGTCAGTCACTTTAGCCGGAAATCGGAGCCCTCTCTTCAACTTGGCGCCCACTTACGTGAACTGAGGTGGAATTAAAGGGGCCAGGTCAAACTGGGTCCAGACTCTGGTCTCGGGGGCTCGTAGACCGGCTAAAAGACGGCGGTCCAAAGAGCTTAAGTGAGCTATAGCCTCAACTCGACTTCACTGGCTATGGAAACGATTCATTTATCAAACATCTGGAAGGAAACGGTGAGTAAATTTAGTGTCATCGTCTTAAAAGACCCCAAGCACTGAGCATCTTTAATTTTGGGGTTTATTTGGAATCTTATCATAATTCATGGTATGAATCAACGGTTTAGAGCCCTTCAGTGTTTATTATCTATGAACCCGACTTGAGTTTCTTGATCTGAAGTCGCCCCTGTGAGAGTAATTGTCCTCGAACTGAACGGGGAGACACCAGCTGGAGGGGAAATATGGCTCCATCCCCAGATAAATGGAGACATTCTTTTAGGAGGAGCACAACCCAGATTCAGATGACTGAGTCCTCTTTTGCCGGTTGTTCTCGGATCTCATGACTCGAGCAAACCTGCCCGGCTATGTCCGATGTGACACGGGTTGTGTAGTCTGTGTAAATCCGGACGCACAATTGCAACAAGTGAACAGCCCCCTCGATAAGGAAAATGAAACAAGTTAGAGGTTCTGGGCCATTTTATCTCGGTGGAGCAGATATTTGAATAAAAGAACATGCAAAGTCATCTCCGGACTGATTGTAGATAAAGAGGCAAAAACAGAAATGTGTTTTCCCAAATCATTCAACCATTGAGTGCGAGTTTTTGTCTAGTTTTTTTCCAGGTAGTGGGTGGGTGGTTGTTTTTTGTAAGGGGTATTTTGCAACCTGAGTTAGCTGCACGCTAATAACAAACCTAGCTAGAATCCAGAGGCTGTTGACTGTGGTTAGATAAGGAGGGAAGGCATGCGGCTCCCCTGCTTTGCGTTAACTTTTAAGCTTCCTCTTTTCACTGCTTCTCTGTTTTCTGTCTCGCGCTCCTGTTGTGAAACCTGCCGTTGCGTTTGACAGGAAACGGCAATCTTTAACATTTCTTGAGTTGAGCTCGCTCGACATCTATTTTTAACACTTGGGTCGGTGCGTGACTCAGTTCTTCACCCTTCTTGGCATGTTTGCTTCCCAGAATTTGAGCTTTTTCTGCCTCCCCCTTTTGCTCTTTCTCCTCTTTTTTTATTATAAATCTAATAAATGCATATTTAACGGAATTCTTTAACGATCTCTTTCAGTCTGTAGTTCCATCTGGGTTTCTTGTTTTTGTAGCTTCGCAGACGGTTTCTGTTATTCAGAAACCAGAAAAAAGGGACAAACGGTGTCAAACAATGCGGTGCAATGTGCAAAAGGAGAAAAAACGGGAGGTGGGAACCAAACAGCAAAGCGGGGAAATCCTCTTTCAGGAGGATTTCTGTGTTTCGTTTATCGATCAAACGTCAAAATATTCTCAGTCTGCACCGTATTTCTCCTCAGTCATCTTAAAGACCTAAAGACGGGAGGATAGAGAAGGCCTAAAGGCCCTAAGACGACTGGAAGAGAGGAGACGGGAAAAATGAAATGAAATGGGGGGG